AAAAATTTTTAACTTCTCAATATACATTGTAGTTGATGTCGCGTTCCTTCCTTCCTTCCTTCCTTCCTTCCTTCCTTCCTTCCTTCCTTCCTTCCTTCCTTCCTTCCTTCCTGTCTCTTTCTAAAACAATACAAACATTGCATTGGGTAGCATATTTTAAGGGGTAGGCATAGGTAAAAGGACCGTAAATATCTATTTTTACTTAGAGAGGCACAATTCTGTTGTTCTTTCTTCCTTAAATGAGAGAACATCTTGCTCTGTTCAGTCACACTTGGGTGAGACACTCAGTGGGGAATTTGCTGAGGCTTTGTGAATCTTAACACTTTTTAAGACTTTTCTCTCCCTCCAAACTGTTTCAGTTAGAGACGAAAGAATAATTGAAAGTTGAACTTACAAATGTGTGACATGTTCTCTAACTGAGATAGGCTTTAATCAAGAGATAGTCAGAAGCAGATGTTTTCTATTTTTTCTTTAGTGCTTTGTGGTGGATTTAGGATTTTGATGCAAATGAATTTCTTCCCAGTTTGGGGTGTTATACATAAATTTACTTATTATTAAATGATAACCCCAGTATATTTGGTTGTACATTTCTTTCCTTCTGGAAAATTTGCTAATATAGTAGGAATCTGAGATATGGGTAGTCAGAAGTGTTTCTTTAGCCGTTTTGAATTATTTTTTTATGTAGAGTTAATAGAATTATAATTTTTAGTGGTAGAACCAGACTTAAAGATAACCAGGGACCTATAAATAGAAAAGTGTTATCATCTTCTAATCTGCATGGAATTCTTTAAATTGGGCCTGAGATTGAAGATTGAGGAAACTGCATTGCCTTCTTAGAAGTTTAGATGAAGTACTGTTATTACGTGTAAAATCATACATATTAAAGAAAGTAGATATATTGGGAAAATGTTTTTTTAAAATAGTCTCACAAAGCTTACTGGGGCTTTATAAAATCGATAATGAAGTAAAGTTTGTCATTTTTATTTCACTGATGGAGCATGAAACAAGATTCATTTGAACCATTTTATGTGCAAGGTCACTGGTGTATTTGTGGGTGTATATTTTTAGTCTCTTTAGTTCTGTCTACCTGACACCATAACATCTGTGAATTTAGTGGAAACAAACAAACAAACAAAAGATTGTTTTAAGTAAATCAATGATTCAGTACAAATGTTACACCTGCTCTACGCCATGTAGATAGAGCCTCTTCTGTATAGCTCTGAATGAATATAGTAGTTAGTTTATCACACTTTTCTCTGCTAATCTTCTTAGCTTCCTTGTGCTGACTAGGGGATTGGACCAGATGACTAATAATGGTTCCTTTAATGTTAAAATGGCTGTGATTTTACATAAAAAAAACCCTCTCAAAAGAATGAACTTAGGGTTTAAAACTGTTTCCCTTGATCATAAGAATTTCTCTTAAACAAAGGCATTGCAATGATAAAAATGTGATCAAACCAACAACGTAGGTTTTTTTTTCCCCAGTCTCACTTTTGCCAGCTAGTGTTTAAAAGGAGTCAAAGATGGCTAATATCTTTTTTTCCTGTGCAGATCTGAAAACCATGAGTGAACGCCTCAAGAATAGGTACTACGTGTCTAAGAAATTATTCATGGCAGACTTACAGCGAGTCTTTACCAATTGCAAAGAGTACAACCCCCCTGAGAGTGAATACTACAAATGTGTCAATATCCTGGAGAAATTCTTCTTCAGTAAAATTAAGGAAGCTGGATTAATTGACAAGTGATTTTTTTCCCCCTCTGCTTCTTAGGAACTCATCAAGCAGTGTGCCTAAAGCAAGGTGGTTTAGTTTTACAAAGAACTGGACATAATGTATTGAAGAGACTTGTAAATGTAATAATTAGCACTTTTGAAAAACAAACAAAAAAAGCTTCCTTTTAGCTTTTCAGATATGTATTTAAATTGAAGTCATAGAACATTTTTATTTTATGAA